CGCTTCCTCGCGGGCGCTTCCTCGCGGGCGCTTCCTCGCGGCGCTTCTTCTCGGCGCTTCCTCGCGGCGCTTCTTCGCGAGTGCTTCCTCGCAAGTACATCACAAATCGTGGAAGTAGGCATGTAGACGTATCATCGAGTTCTCGGAATATATTTGGAAAACTAGCATTACGTGGGAAGGAAGTGCACGCACTGTGAAAAAAAAAGGTGCGAGAAGGGTGCGCGGAGGGTGTGCCTGCAGAGGGTCGAGATGCACACCCTCGTGGTACACATGTTGATGCTCACGGTACCTATTCGCACCCTTAGGTTCCCTATGCTCCCGCGCCGTCATCGCAAACAGCATATGCACCCGTGGGGTTGACATGACAGGCCTCCAACCGTCCTGCGAATTCCAATTGTTTTTCAAGCGCTTCAATTAAAGCGATTCACATTGTTGCGTGCATTAGCCTCCCATGGCTCCAACTATGAACTTCACAATTATTACTATCAAAAACCCAATTTTTCAGCCATGAGGTCTAGGTTTGTCCCGATGCCCCATTTCCACTAATAAAATCCATTGCTCGATTTCATGCCAAATCGATAAAGTTAAGCCTGACGAAGGCTTCTCCCCGGAAACGTCATTCGAGGCCTTTCCTGAAGGGCATTGCAATTCCTTGCCCTGCCAGGTCACGGGAGATAAATGTTCTGTGCTTTGAAGAATGGTGAGAATCAAACTCGGCTGCAACGGAAGGTGCGAGAAATCGTGTTGCAAGGCTGGGAAATTTTTTTTACAATTGTCGAGAATCTTTTTTTTCCGGGAACGTACGTTTTATCGGATTAAGCATATCACCCTCTCGCTGCTTTCAAAGCGTCCATACACCATTCGGTAAGAAACGCGAGCGGCATTGATCGCTACACGCACAGAACCTGGAACGAAAAGGAGATGGGTACCGTCACAAATGTCAAACGTGTCAACCATTTGAAAGGAAGAAAGGGAATATATATCTTTGGAGATCGGGATGAGAACCAAAGTGAAATCCTGGGGAGCCCTGGGGAGCCCTGGGGAGCCCTGGAGAGCCCTGGGGAGCCCTGGGGAGCCCTGGGGAGCCCTGGGGAGCCCTGGGGAGCCCTGGGGAGCCCTGGGGAGCCCTGGGGAGCCCTGGGGAGCCCGACTCCAGCTGACTTTGCGCGGAGACCATTAAACCCTCCTAAGACAAAAGAAGCTGACGGACTAATCCTTTCTCAGGAGTCCTGCCATTTTTTACTTTGGCCCCTCAAAGGCCGCAGTCCCGACCCTGTCTTCGTTTTGGACGTAGAAAATCCTAGAGGCGACAGACTTCCCAAAACTTGGTGCGTCGTGTATATAAGAGCGTCGTGGAAAGCGTCTACCTGGCCCCATATCTTCCTGGCAGCTGGATTTGGTGAGATACTGTGAGACTCGTGGCCTCGTATACTAGAAGACTACTATATGCCCTAGGTCTAAGTCCTTGTGAAAATACCGTATACGCTGTATGACTTTTTATTTTATCTTTTATTAAAATAGTTACGTTACGTTATGCAGGTATTCATATCACAGATTTACTGCAATCTCATACAGCTAGGTTAGAGACCGACGATCGTTCACGAATAGAAATAGGTAGGAAGCAGGGACTGGAATATATTTCAAATGGTGCATTTCGGAGTCTCCTTGATACAGTTACGGGCAGAACTTAAACTAGGCGTATTTTATCTTGAAAGTCGGTATCACCGGCTAGGAACCTTATTTAACTCTTGATCAACACCGTGGGAAAAAAAAAGTAGCGAATAAACAGAGAGTGGTCGATGTGGTGTCTATGACTGTGTTAATTTCCTTTCTTCTTTCTCGGTCGCCGAGTCCTTATTTTGATGCCACAGTGAGGTTCATCAGCTGATGTCTTGTGGTTTTCATTTCATTACAGGTCAGCAGGATCTCGGCTGTCCCGTTTCTCCATTTTAAAGAAGTCTGCATTCCGGGGGAGTATCTCAATACGGGTGAGTAAAATCCCGATTTCATGTTCTCATGACCTTGAATTTTAGAACGCGAAGCTGCATCGCTCTGTCATTTTTCCTGAAACCTTAACAGCTTATGGGAAGGACAGTGCCGTGACAGGACAAACAGGATTTGGCAAACATCATTTGGCAAACATCAGCTCATCTTGCTGTCTGCATTCTTCCGTGAACCCGTCTCTGGGATTATCTGCGTAGAGAAGGTGCGCATTCTTCTCTTCGAAAATCCTGACTCTGTGACCTTTAAGGCACTGGGCAGAAATACTATCGATCCATTCACCTCACGTCGTTTTTACCAAAGGACATGAAGAAATGAGAAAGTTTCCCATTTTTAAGTACGTGATATTTTTTCTTTTCTGCAGGAACCGGTGTGTGGGAGCCCAGTCCTCTGGATGCCAAGACCTGTGCCTAAGGAGAAAATCTGAATCAAGATTGATGCGACCGAAGTCCTCTCCACACCGAACGGCATTGAGGCTATTGTAACGCATGCCAGCCTCTGACCGCGCAACGCCCAGTGTCATCCGGTAGGGGAGGAAGCTGAAGGAGGTGAACTAAAACGTCCACACGTGGAGGGAGGTGAACCCAGTGTTCGGGGTCAACCAAGACGTGGAAGGGCTCCTCACAGTTTCAATGCAGGATCTTTCCTTCTCGAATGGGATACCCAAACACCCAAACAAGGAGCCATGACATCATTATGCGAATGGGTATCAAAGTCCCTCCAATCGAATCCAATCGCCAAAACCTATCCTCCAATCCAGCAAGATTTCAGCTGAAGATCCCTCACTCCGAGGTGAATGAAGAGCTCGAACTCGAAGAACTCGAGTCAGTACCGATTGGACCGGGGTACTTGGGCCCTTTTAGATCGTGGGTGTTTTGAAACCGGCCGCCTTTCTCTCTAAAACACATACTGAAGAACAACGTTTAGTTAGAAGATCCTTTCGCTTCGATGGTCGTGAGTTATCCCCAGAACTTGCAAGGAAGTGAAGACCAGCCCTTTATAATTGAAGGTACTGTAAAGGGGTTGGACCGGTTGTTTAACATTTCCTTTGTCTTTTTTATTATTAATTTTTTTTTTTAGGAAATACATTTTTTTTTTTGGTTTTCTTGAATTACGCCTTAGTCCCACTCGAATTTGAATTGGCACGGTCCTGGTTTCCTGGAAGGAATTCATTGTAGTGGAATCGGGGCGCGTTAAGGTAAAGTTTTTATTTGAACTCAATTAATAGTTGGTATTTTCATAAATCCAACCCACTGCGCCCCGTGCCCGGTACACTATCAGTTGTTTCTGGGCCTCACGCTATGCATTCAATGTAAAATATTCCAGCGAAAAAATGTTTGAATTTAATGTCGTGCAAACTGGACTTGCGAGACCACAATCCTTAAGTGCGTGAAAACTGCTCTCACTTCCCTTGCCAGCAGCTGAACAACTTCCATTCCAATTTCAATATGTGATGCATCGATGTCAAAAAATGTTTTTCTTTGATGTATAATACATATGTTATGCATTTAATATTGCGCTTTATTCCCTGTGAAAGAAAATTGGTGTGAAGGGTTTCCAATGCATAATGTCGGACTAGGTATACGGCAACATAAGAGATATGGGTCACGTGGATGACCAGAGGTCAATGAGAATCCTGTAACGAGACACTGGACCAATGGACCCAATGACAAGACTCCCGGAAGACCGTATAGGATGCAGAACAAGGTTGCCAAGTCAACCAAGCAGATCACACCCACTGGGGTGCAGGAGTAATGCCTCGGAGAGTATTTAAAGGTCAAAATGTCCGGAGTTAGGGTGCAAGTCACAACCCAGCAGGGTGTGCCTGCAATGCCTTAGGATGCAAAACAAGGTTGCCATGTCAACCAAGCAGACTAACATGTGTGCCCACTAGGGTGCGGGAGCAATGCCTCCGGTAAAATTAGGGGGTGAGAATGGTTGCGATTAGGGTTCACATGGGAGCCAAATGCTGTTGCATGTGAACCCATGAGTAGGGGTGCCCATGCTCACCCTTCGTGAAGGGTTCCCATGTGAACCCTAGAGGCTTCTGTCCTGGGACAACGCAGGCACACCTTTGAAGGTGTACATACGCACCTTTAAGCACCTTTTTTTTTTTACAGTGTAGTCCTATACTAACAATGGACCTAAAAGGTCTTTTAGGGCAAAAAGGGAGTACAAAAACCCACCCTAAGTCGACCATCACAAACTTTTTTTTTTTATTTACCACGAAAGATAGAAGATCCAAGACAACGTAAATCAGACACGGAGACAGGAGTTTTCAGTTTCTCCGAACGTTGTTTTGCCGTTGTACACTCGGCATACACGATTTGTCCAAGTCGATGGGTGCCGATTTTTCAGGAGAGCGAGAATTTTCACCCATACGAAAGCATTTGACGGCGCATATTTCCGAAAGAAACCAATTACCGGAGGTAAATAGACGAAGGAAGACTAGGCGTATCATAAACAAAAATTTCCCGAAAGGGACACAGCCTTTTTGTACAACTCATGCGATGGTCGATTCAACGTTATCGGGGAATGAATACCTCTTTTTCTTTTATTGAGAATGGATTTATCATTTCCTACCAATGGACCGGGAGAAGCCTTCATAAAAACTACTGTTTATTTACTTGAGGACGAGTTCTTTTTTCTCCTGGTCGCTGCGAGCACGTCATGTCTATGCCCATATATGGGCAGGAAATTAGGCCGCGGATCGATCAGCAGTCTGAATTCCGACCACCTGGAAAAACGAGAGAATCGGCGCAGACGTGACCGCTAGGCCGAGAACGTTCTCGGCCTTGCTCTCGAATGATGGCCATATATGGCCTCCCCGGGCCTGATGTTAACTGACCAATCACAACCTTCCTGGCAACCGCATCTCGAGCCATGCGCAAGATTTCCTCCCTCCCCCGAGGAGGAGGAGTAGTCAGTAAATCGCTGACGCTCACTGGTTGTGCTTGGTGAACCTCGATAAATTAAGGTAAGGAATTTTTCTGACTCGAATGTTGAACGCTCAATCGCATGAGTTGGGTCATAAGCTAGGCGAGGAAGCAGGGGACTCCCTTGTCCTGGGCCAGGGGAAGTATTCTATTCAGTCTTGGACTCGTGTAAAGCAAATTGCTCAACCCTGCACACCCGTCGCTATGCTGCATGGCATCCTAGGCCTTCATATGGTGAGCTCCAAGCACACTGGCATGATCCTGGCGTACGTTGAGCCGTACCCCGCATTTCGTACGCGTTGATGGCAGCGCCATCTAACGGCGTCCGCTAGAACTAGTGTTCTACACTACTTCCTGTAAGTGTCAGGTGCAATGCTCCACGTGAATCCCACGATATCTTGTCCCAGGCGGCAAGGTCACAACCTTGTCCGCTTCAACTTTCTCGCACTTTCCCGTTCACTTCTCACAAGGGCGATCTTTATCGCCGATCTATATCACTTTGCCCCCGTCGCACTGAAATGATACCTATATAAACTACGCTGAGAATGTAAGCTTCAGTCTCCTCCTCCACAACTCCACACAATGGCAGTCAGACGCGACCCAGATCTTTATAAATTTGCAGCTCTGACTGCCAATGACGAATCCGCCATCGCCTTCGCAAGGGAATGTCACCTCCTCCCTCAAGCCAGCCTTACACAACCTCCCCCATGCAAGTACCCCGGCTGCCCAGGTGTGTTGGCATTCATGCACTATTATGGGTAGGAATTAGCATGCGATTGGAGGTCTTTGAGTTGTTATGCTGTACGGTTTTTCTAAGGGACCCTCTACGACTCAACCAGAAAACACAAAAGCGGAAGCACTTTTCCCATCGTGAGGTGCCGCAAATGCAAGCGGTACTGGAGCTCCAGGAATGGCCCTGATGTCCTCGGGGGTCCAGCAGCAGGTCGAAATGGAGGCACATTTTTTTCTTTTAAGGATATCAAGGATCGTCCGTGCTCCAAGCTCAGCATTAGGACAGTTCTGTCCATTGTGTATTGCTGGGCACGTGATCAGACGATCCGACAGTCACAGGAATGGCTGGCCTCCATGCTGTCCTCTAAACGTGAGNTTCGCCGTTTCGGCAGCATTAGTTCCAAGTTTGAACTCGTAAAGAAAAATCGGACGAAAGTTGCGTTTCTCCATCGTTCGCTTTGGCAGCTACAGGAACGCTAGGCTAAAGATAAATAAAAAGCAACTAAGTGGCTTACATAGAGAAAGGTTTGCTGAAAAAAAACGGTATATAACAATAACTGGTTATCGCAAAATTGACAGGTATAATGATAGACAAAACATTACGCTTCGAAAATCGGACATTTATTTCGGAACAACCTAATAGATACCTAGGGTCTATTTCGTCCCGGAAGGCATTCGAATAGTGTCGGTACTTTTCCTAGGTGCTAACACAACGAATTGAAAGCTCCTGGGCGCATAACGGGTGTGCGCATAACGTATAATACCCCATACATTTGAATGTGCAAATATGGAATGTGCAAAGGAGTACGAGAGTTAAAGGGGCAGTATTCACCGATTAAGAATTAGCTCGAGTTTATTTTTCCTCAATCTTTCCAAATGGAAAGTAAAGGGGGAACGCCGGGGGGGGGGGTTCTTTGCGGATAGCGAAGGCAAGTCCATGATCCTGTTCACGATCGAAATCGAGGACGGAAGTCATCTCGGCGAGTGGCGGGGAAGGATCGATAGGAAAACCAAAGGCAGGCGCGACAACGGAACGAAACATACGAGACCGGTGCTCCATGGGCCAGACGATCATCACACGTGATACAGCGTGCTTCAGTTGGACATTTGCCATAGCTTTCTACAGGCTTTGAATCTGGGATATTTTGCAGGCGAAACAGAAGGCCTTTCCGTTGGCTACTGAACTTGAGATTGTAATTTTCAGGATTGCTTTGACCCAGGAGTGCACAACTGGTTGGCCATAGTTGTAGCCAACAGGGCAGGAGTCATAGTAGCACTTACAACGCCACCAGTCATGGCGGGCCGCATGCAGCCAACGGGTCGTATTTTGTACTCCCCTGCTTTAACTCGATAGAAATAAAAAACTTTCCTAGGGATGGATATATATATATAAGGGATTTAATTCAGTTTCAGGTTTCATGCTCCTTGCTGTGTCACAGGCTCATTTCGCCACCCTGTCATCCGTATATCAGGATCTGTCACTATCAGGATATCAGGACTCCAACAACCCGAACGCCATGGTGAGTATTAATGGACTGATTGACATGCAATTTACGTAATTAACTTCGAAGTTTTAAATGTGTAATTCCCCAGTTTTATCTTGGTGGCAAAATGGAACAGCAACTCAGGTTGCCACATTGGCTGAGAATGCTGTTGATGGTGTATCCCTTCTTGCGATGGTTGTTATTTCAAATTCTCCTCCTCCTTTATTTGCTTCGGCTCGACGTGGCCCCAGTTCCAGGAGAACTGTTCAAGAACTGTGGCCCCAGTTCAAGAACGGCATACTCTTTAAACCTGGATGAAGTCAACTACGTGAGTACGCATAGCATTCAATACCCTCTTTCAATTGGGACATTAATGTCCCAATTGTAGCTTCAAAAAGTTCTGGGAAAAAGGCTCTCAAGTACTGTTTTTCAGTCTGATCGCTATGGCACTGGGTGAAAATGTTAATGACGTAGTTCCTGCTACAGTGGTTGAGTGTCTTTGCGAATTCTTCGAAGAAGAAATAAGGCGATAAAACAATTACACACACGGTAGGTTCGAATTTTTAGGTCTCTCCCAAGCGAATCTTCCATTCTTGGCGAGTGCTCTCAATGAAAAAAAATTGGCAGTAATTCTTGAATCCGTGTCTCTCGCGGCGTATGGAATCTTGCGGGGAATTAAATTTTGCCTCATAGCATTCAATTGTGGTACTCCGCTGGCCAGGTGTCAGAATATAATCATAGTGTGCTTCCAATATCCCTGCCCAACCCAATTTCAAGTCGGGAAGGGAGACATCGGGATCTAGTTCAGGGGTATGCAACCTGTGGGCCGCATGTGGCCCGGTAATGCACAATGGACCGAATCTTTTCACTCCTTCCCCTAATTACTACACACGTGGAGGCGCCACATGTCTCGAGGAAGAAGGTTCTCAATCCCAAAGGCTAGTTTTGGGCGTTGGAATTTCCTAGGGGTGGGGTGAGGTGGGGGGTAAGGATCATCAGCCAATCAGCGCGACCTTATGCCCTCATAGGCCAAGAGGGATGCCCCATATCAAGTATCTGGCTCAAAATCACCGAATATTATCCGGCATGTCGACAGAAATGAGTCTTCCTAGTGTATCGTTGCCTAAACACTAACATTTTTGCCTTTATTGCATTGAGATTGTCCGAGTCCTAAAAATGAAGTCGGGCCTCCCTTTCATAAATTCGCTTTCAAGTATTGATAGTGATAGCTTCAGTCACTGAATTTTCGTTACGGCAGATTGGATAACTTCAACCGAAGTAAATGCGAGTTGAAACTTTGAGATGCAATACAGTCGCAATAGGGACTGAATGGGACAGAGATGATGCTAACCCAAAATCATAATTAGAGAAAGTTCAATAATTAACAGATAGGATTGCTGCAATATCCACAGCTAAGATAATTTTCTAATCAAAAAGTTATTCATCAAGGAAGAAAGGTATAAAGCAGAAACGATTTCCCAGCTATCATGACAGCTCTAATGGTGAGTACCCCATGTTTTTACCTTCAGAGTATGCACTTACATTTTATCAAGTAGAACCATTTTCATATCTGTTTCTATGGATGAGATAAAGTCACTCGGTTCCTAATTAATGACTTGGTTTATTATTTTCAACCATTGTGTTTCCCCTTGATGCCTTCAGTTCAGCAAGTGGTTCTAGTTTGTTATCATTCTAAACCTTTAACTCTGATAGGATAGCTGCCCACTTATACATTTTTATGTGAGAGATAGAAAAAAAACCTTGAACTCATTGCCTGTAGGCTTTCACACATCAGTTGAACCCCACCCTTTGATTTTGCCTTGCTTTAATGCCCAGCATGATGAAATAATGAAACACGAAATGAGTAACACAAGAATGGTAGATGAGCACGGACAAAAGTAAAATGCAGGAGCATGCATTTTCCCTCAACCTCTTGTGTAACTGCATTCATAAAAATTTTCTCCCTACTAATGATACTTAGTAACGGGATCCTATCATTGACTTGGTGTTGCACGTATATTGGTGCCGGTTTGGTATTCTTTCGCAAAACCACAACGCCGCTTTCATGGAACTGTTGTGTTTAGAATATTTTCTCTTTCCTTATTTATTGTGTTGGTTATTTTTTTCAGTCTCCGTGAACCAATTGACTGAATTTTGGAGAATCTTCATTTGCTTTGACATTGATTTCTCATCATTCTGTCCTCTCTAATTTGCTTTCATCCTCAATTATGACCCCTTGATTATCCCTGCAATTTTGTGATTGCTGTTTTTTTTCTGCCACTTTTTTCTTTTATTTTTGCCACAGTAATAGAATAAAACTTTGAAAAAATCCTTGGTTGACTATTACTGTCTTTTGTACAGGCGGGCATAGAAATGCCTATAGAAAAAGGTAGCGTACAGTCCTTGTGACCTTCAAATATCAGTTCTTCCATACCTCCCACTCCCAAGGGCTATGCGACCACTTTCTCCGGCGACGAGTTTGCTATAGGACCGATTGGCGAATTGATCGACAAATGAGGCCTGTACGAATCAGGTTTCCTACGACTTGACGGCCACGAATCATCGTCGACGAAACAGGCTGCGACGAATTGACGGACACGCTACCACGCACAAAAAGTCGGTGAAATATTGCGCCTTACCGAAACATGCAATGACCATTAGTGTTTTTTTCATTAGTGGCATTAGTGGATCTTTTGCTGCCCTCATCGCTTTCAGGGAATTTTATGCTTGAATTGCATCCATATCACATGGCATGATAATAGTAGCCATTTAACAGTCTGGGATGTATCTAATGCCTTTGTCCTAGGAATTACCTGAATCGTGGAAAGTAAGCTTGAACGCAATGTCTTCGCGGTAATCGTATGAGGTGTGACCTACCACAGCACGTTGGATATTAAGTGTGACCTACACGGTTTGCACTGTATAAAATACATGATTTTATTTTCTAATACTACTTAGGCCTGCAAATTTCATCATTTGACTGCCGTCAGGTTTCACATTAGATTAATCGGCGCACGTAGACTTGACGCCCCTAATGAATACGTCGAACCTGTTGTTTGTAGGGTTGATGACCACGTAGCTGCTGATAGAACAACGTGCCTCTATCTACCCCAATATGCATGCGGATCCAGGGGGAGGAGCTGCCCTCTTATGACCAGGTTCGCATTCTATTTTTTTTTAATATAAAAGGCACTTACATTAATCCTTTGCGGAGCGAGATTTCTTAACCCTATTAGAAGTATGAACATACCAGTACGTTCATACTTCTCAAAGAGTTAATTTTCATAGGGGCCAGTGAACTAGATATCCAAGGTTTTACCCCAGACGAAAAATGAACAATGGCGATAGGATGGGGAGTGATGGGATGATGGGGGGGAGAGGGGTGGTAGAGGGAATCCCCCTCCCCCTATGAAACATTTCTGTATTAACCACTGTATGCATGTACCCACCCATGGGCTTCCCGTTCAATGACACTAACAGATATATGTGCATATTGAGGGGGTATTTGGGGAGGTCCCGGGCAATCACACACACGCACAGTTCACAGACAACCATGTAGCATCCAAGCTCCCTTGCCTTTGCTTTTTGAACCATTTGTTGCATGAGAGCAAATTACCAGGGATAATGCCTAGCTCTCACTTTGGCTATACAATCGTGGAAAAAATGCTTACCGTAAATGTTGGACATCAGGCATGAAAGGTACAAATCAGTTCCTTTAATTTCACTATTCTTACAAATGTTACATGTACATTTATTCAAGTATTGTGCCGATTATATCGATATCGTGGTATTATGATAACGTTTCTATTGGAGAAAACCCGAATATCGCGGTGTTCTTGTTCCTGTCCCTTCCTGATTACTCTAGTCTGCATATATGACAGTGCAACTTACTCGAGCTATAAGCTAGTAAGGAACGGGTTGGAGCACAAGATGGAGATGAAAGGCGGCACTCCTCCCAGCTGCAAAAGTGAAGCAGAGAGGAGAGCGCTACCTTTTTGGACCCAGGTAGGTAATCCATTGTTGTTTGAGATTAATGATAAATGAACTTATTAAAGTATGAACTGAATCGCGAACTCAGTTTTTTTTTCCCTTCCTCTCCATTCACCTTGAATTTTGATTCCCCTCCTGAACCTCGAACCAATCACGTACCTAATCCCCATTTCAGTTTCACTCTTTTTTTTTCTTTTCTTATTTCCTGGTTTCAGCAATCGGCATAGTCTAAACCAGTGATGCACATCCTGCGGGCTGTGGGCCGCATGCGGCCCGCGGAGACCTTTCCTGCGGCCCCTGGATGCCTCCAGTCTCTAAAGATCCATATTTACATGCGGCCTATTTTGGCTCATGTTCGAGGGCGTGCGGCCCTTTAACCCCTCAAACATGAGCCGAAATCACAATTTGGCCCTCTAGGGGGAAAAGGTTGTGCATCACTGGTCTAAACCATTTATATTTGCTCATTTCCCGTCACTTCAACGTATTGCTTTTCCTCTTCTGCCCTCTTTCATTTTCAACCTGGCTTCTTGGTTATCCCTGTCTTTTTTGTAATTTTCCTGATTGGTTTTTCTTTTTTTGCCAGAGCATGATCCAGTTATGTAGGCCTATGTGGCGAACAAATAAAATATATATTTGAACAATTCGTGGTTGTCTATCTTGTGAAATAGCTCTCCAAAATACTCTCTTCAAGCACAAAATTGCCTATCGAAAAATATATTTCAAGTTTGATTAGTTCAAGGACCATATGCTACCAGCTCTTCCATACCTCCCACTCCCCATGGACTATAGGACCAGATAACAGGCAAGTGAGGCCTAAGACGAATCAGATTTCTTAAGACTAATAACGAGGCATCGTTGACGAAACAGACTGCGACGACCGATCGCTACAATGACCAAATATCAGTAAAATCTTGCGCTGATGAGAAGGTTTTAAGCATGATTTTTGCAGGTTCACCGTCTGGAACTGAAGGCCTGAAGGCATTGACTGCACTAATGAATGATGACCGTATGTGGCGCGAAAGGCGTTAGATCTACCTGATTGCACGATGGCCACAATTTTGAGGATACAACTTAAGCAAGCGTATGAATGAAACACCCATCTTTGGTCAACAAAGGATGCCCAAGTGGAAGAAAACAGGTAGGAAACACTGGAGAGTGACAAATGGATGTGACCCGCGATAATATTCGCTAAAGTTATGAGACTTTAACGAAGAATGGAGCGGTATGAAATGAATTTTTGCAAATGCCGACAATCATGGACACGACGCAACTAAAGGGCAGCAAGGCTGGATATACAGGGTGTTCAAATGTAAACATAGGAAAAAATTTGTTAATGGTGTTCAGCGTCTTAAAGCTCAACGGGTTGCATCAAGGACGAAACAATCACTGGTGATTGATGTGTTTCCTTGCAGATATGCAACCCGGTGGGCCTTCTAGCCTTAGCCACATAGAGGGTGGGGCAACAGAGAGGGAACACAGGAATTTTTGAGGGAATTTAATTTTTCTTTCTGACTAACCTTTCACTAATTGCCCACTGCTATCAACATCTCTAGCGTTGATTGTTGGACCAGAAGTGCTTTGATTTTGGTGAAGGCTTTTATTTTGACGGGCTTCTCCTGTTGCCACAGTTTGTTTTGGCATCGGGAATACTGCTGTCCGGAATTTTAATCTGATTTAGTCCTGAATCAGCACTAACTCCGGTTTTTTACCGGTTTAATGCGGCATTATTATGCAATTCCACAACATTCCTTCATAAGTCACTTCCAAATGTCGTCCGTCAAATTACAGAAAAATTGTGCAAACTCAAGCATGGAGGTCACCAGCGCGAACAGCAATGGAACTGACACATCACTA